CATTGACTCTCGTCAGATTGAAAATAACTTAATTTTTGCAATAAGTCATTGAATTGAATTGAACTGAACTTCACATTGAAACAACTTTTGATGGTTTCACACAAACCGACTATGATACTGTTAAATCTGCTCCTGATAAATTCAAAATGATTTCTGATTTAGACAAAAAACTAAGGTATCATAAGGAGTCGGAGGAATAAAAATTGCGTCCATGTAAATCAAAAACAACCGAACATATCCTTTCCAAACTTGATAGTGTAATTGAGGCATATTATGAGGCATAAACAAGGGTCAATTTTGCGTAACACTTCTTACAATGGAAAAGGACGATTTTTGTGGTAAAAAAACGTTTGGTACTTACCTTTAAAGCAGTTTATTAATTCCTCCAGGTTAACGATATAATCAAAAATGGCAAGCAAACAATCGTCGGGGATTTCATTGAACGACATTTTAAATAAAATGCTTAAAACTACAGTTTTCCGTTGCATCTAATGATTGTTGATACAAAGGTATTTAATGGCCAATCACTAGATTTGTTTGATTACCAGAATGTATCATTTGAAATTGTTTTCCTCTGTAGTCCACATAGATGTCAGCAGTTGATTGAATTGTTGCAATACAAAAAATAGAGATTCTAATTTTAAGGATCCAATATTATCCAATTTATCTTTTACCTATCGTCATTATTTTTGCAACCTCGATGAAAGTTATCTACGGATCTAAAGTTGTAATGCTTGACCACAAAGACATCTCTTTAGGTTAGCCAATAGATAATATGCACTAGAAAACAGATCGAGAAATAAAGTGAATGAATAATAGAGATTAAGTTGAAACTCTTTGAATGGGCTTTCGAGGTAAAAATAACAAATATGTCAAATACATTATTAATAAATACTTTTCAATAATCAATTGGAACCAATAAACATGAAAGGTCCACATATATCCAGTCTTTGCGGAAGCAATGTTTCATGAAATCAAAGCCTCGACTAATTACTTCGTATCATTGGATAACTGCGGCCAATCTAATTGATTCGTGTCATTTCCATGTAGTAAAATTGATGATCGTCCATATCTTTACAATAATCTTTAACATAATCAGCAGCTCTTGAGTGACTTCCTGACACTCAACAGCATCCAATAGCACTAAATTGGGTAAAATGTGAACCAACTGCTCGATATGTTCATCTGTTATAATACAATGGCCCCTCAACGCAAGATGTTTGAGATTCGGAAATTTCTTGAACAATCTTTTAAAATAATTCCAGGTATCATCTGCGTTATCAAGTCCATACTGTAAATATAAAAATCAATTAGTTTATAAGGAAAATTTTGAACAGATGACCCTTTCCATGTTGATTTTAATCTGAATGTATCTGAATAAATTTGTATAATTCAAAGAATTAATTGCATTTCAAATCTGAAAAATACTTACGAATTGAAAAACTAAATCTTGTAAACATTTGTGTTTCAATGTTTCATCAAAAAACGAAGTATTAGCGCTCATCAAAATATGTGCGCTTTGTAAATTTGGACATGAATCCATGAACTGGAAACCATAAAAAATGTTATGACAGGGACGACGAAAGGCCATCTCAAGTATTTTGAGCTTTTCCAATACTGGACCATCGTAGGGATTATCTGGAACTAAACGATAGATTTGCATGAGCCAACATTTCTGGGCAAAATATTTTCATAATTACCATCTATTTCAACCTTTAGTCTTTCAAGGTTTGGCAAATAATGTGCATCTCTTCTCAAATCCACTAGACTATAATTCCAAATGTCCAATTGCTTTATGTTTGAACTATTTTGTAAATTGTTTGGATTGAAATGATTGACAGAAAGCATTTCGAGTTGATCACAATATTTTTCTATTGGTTTGCGATATCTACTAATTAATCCTTTCAATGATTCTTGTTTGCTAACAAATTCAATTGCGTCTTCTACTTTGAGATGTAATCCAGGAGACAATTCGGCAATCTAAGTTAACAAGATAAATAAACAAATTAATATTCAGAGAAAAATGCAAAAAGAAATTTGATTAATAATATCAACCTACTTGTAAATTTGTAAATAATTTACTCAGGTAGGTTACATCACGCACACATGGTCTTTGAAAATAAACAGCATCAGATGAATAACCACGCTGACCTGAAATATAAATTTGTAAGATTAAGAAATGGATGACAATGAGCATGAAACATTAATAAAACTTGAATCTTACCGATCAAATATTTAACTTTTTTAGTCCGCTTAGCAATTAAATGGCTCCATTTAACGCACACTGTAATCAAATTTTACTTATTTCAAACACATCAGTTATATTAAGTTATAATACTTTCGAAACCCCCACAACATGACTCAACTAGTGTTGTATTGTTACTCAATCGTTAGTCAATTACTCTCAGAATCAACACAACATGACTTTATATACATAAAAACATTCAAATACTGCGCCTGCATAGTCAGCTGATTGAGTCATGTAATAATCAAAAGATAATAAAAGATGTTGCATTTAGATGAAACTTTTCACAATATTGAAACAAATTCTGCTGGTTTCATACACACCGGCTTCTATACAGTTAAATCTGC